CATTATTAATACATATAGAGACATGTGCTACGTTTATAAAATAGTATTATATAATTTTTTAACTATACACAAAGAGGAGATGTTGTATTCTTTAGATTCGTATATAAATATTACTACATATAAAAATATATGTAACATGTTTCGTTCAATTTCTGATTTATTCTATGATATAAAAATTTTATGAAATTTTATCTAACTGCTTTATAAACCATTCTATTATCACATGTGTAAAAACCTTATTTAATAACAAACCATAATTGAATGTGAAATTAATAAATATTTTGAGTTAATTTTTAACTTAAATTAAGAGGTGTAAAAAATAACAAAATTTATTCCAATAATATATCAAAGAAATATAAATTACACAGTTGCATTAACATTTAAAGGATGTAATATATTAAGCGAAATTTTCCATTTTTTTTTTTGGGATAAAATAATAAATAATTTAGGATTACTTATATTCATATAACACTTTGTTATATTGTACAAAAACCTTTAAATTATGACAATTCATAAATATACATAAATTGAAAAAATGGGGATTTTTTTTTTTTTTTTTTTACCTTTATTAGGAAACACATTATAAATGATATATACAATTCCTATTTGTATGTTTTTTTAAATATATAAAAGAAATTATTGAATAAACATAATATCCATTTATATTTACGCATATACCCTTGATAGCACAAGGACTATCTCTTATATAGGAGGAAAATGATGTGAGAATTTATAATGATAGTGTGTAAAAAAAATTTATATTGCTTAGAGAGTTGTTATTATAAATTTTATTTGAATTTTTGAAATATAATAAAAGAAAATATATTTTTAAAATCAATGTAAATAAGTATAACAATCATTTTAAAAAACCATATATTCAACTATCAATTTCAATGATGAATAAAACAAAAATTATACTAATTATATAAAAAAATTTAACTTTGTTCTTTTAAGTGCATTTTCCCTTGTCTCTGTGTATTTTATAAGTAAACTGCTTCAACACATAACTAATGTCCATTTTTTATATTATTTTCATAATTTACAATCTCAAAATATATATAATATTGTTTTATTATATTATCAAATAATTATTTTTTTTTAATATATCATTAAGAATATTTTTTTTATGTTTTAATATGGAAAAAGAGAAATAAAAATGTTGGACGCATCCGATCTTCATAGAGTGAAGCAAATTAAACATATACAATAGGATCATTTTGAGTATATAAAACTATATAATAAAATTTTTTAAAACAATATTGTATATAAATCATTGTATAACTTTACTAAATAAAATATAACATGGAATTAAATTATAATTAGTGTTAATTCTAAAAAAAGTAAGGGAAGCCAGATAACAGGCCTAAAGAAATTGTCATAATATTTAAAAAAAAAATATAATCATTCCTTATTTTTTTAGAAATATTAATGTATAAAGTGTTATAAACAAAAATCTTAAAAATGATTACCGCAGAAACCATACGAAAAAATATAGGGACAAACTTTTTTAATATATATCGTAGCCATACAGGAGATAATCATAATTGCATAAAATATGATAAAATAACTAATCATTTAGATATAATCCATTTAATGGAATATCATATGTTTCCCTATGTAAAACTATATAATGCTTCTATTATATATATGGATTATTTATCATATTCCTTTACTTATGTTATTCATATATGGCAAATATATGATATCTTTTATTTTTTGTACAATATTATATATGTGAATTTTTATATTTAATTATATAAAACAAAAATGCTAAATTTTATACTTCTCATTAGTTTATGTTCATTATATCTAATGAAATAATAACTTGACCATGATTCTTATGAAGCTTTTATATGGTAAAACACATTAAAATATATAATATATATTCAACTAAGTGAATAAAAACATAAGATTTCATAAAATCACTATTTCTTATTTATACACTTATGTAATGAACCATGTTTTATAGTGCTTATATTATATACTTCTTGAATTAGTAATATAAAATTAAATACATATTAGATAAATATATAGCAGATAAACATTTAACAGAAAAAATCCTAATAATTTATAATAAATGTAAATTATTGTTGCAAAAATGTTTTGTAAAAAATAATATTTTATTAACTATAAAAGAGAAAATGAAAATTATTTTAAATAATAAAAGGCCTTATATAATATAAGACAATATAGCTGATAATTTTTTATTTTTATCTGACTTCTCATGAGTTACTTAATTCATTGAATTAGATACAAATAAAATATGCATTGGTTTCCTATAATGTATTATAAATATTGTTAATTTACATTGTCGGACATGATTATACGTAATATTGACTTTTTTTTATTGTTTCAATTATTTGTATTATTATAGAATTTAAAAACCTTTTATTAATATCGAATTATATTATATTATTGTAAGAATATTTTAAGAAAACATTGTTTAATTATTATTTTTTCTTAATTATTAGTGTTCATCTAGGATTTAGAAAAATACAATATATATGAATATTGGTTTCTCCGAAGTAACGGAATTACTATCATTTACTTTTTACTTTCCTTTATATAAACTGTGATACTTTGAAACCTTTACATGTACCCGGAGAAATACTGATAAGAATATTATAACTTCCGTAAACCATATAATAAAAAATACTACATATAAAAATAAAGCTACAAACGGATCAACAGGAATCGATAAAGCAAGTAACAAAATAAATGGATTGAATAACCCGGCAGTCATCAAAAAAATCCCACGACTAAAATATAAATCATACATTGTATGTAATGCCATTTTTAAAGTATTACTAGACGAACTGCAATTTTCTTGATATTTATAAAA